TAAATTTCCTCTATGCATCCGCATGGTAGAAATCTATGCGGTTGCATGGAGAAACTTCATGCAAGCCACTAATTTTTGGTAAGTGGCCATGCGACCACATGAGCCAAGTTTGGCGCCTTCGTTTTTTGGTTTTATTTCATTCATTGTACACACTGTTTTGTTGGTTCCACGTGCTTCAATTGTTGCTTTTGAACAACCGACTCCAACAATCTCCCACTTGTTCAAAATTAACACTATCTCATATTCTAAGTATACGATACCCATGTATTAGGATTATATATCTTTTGATTTGAATCTAACTGTAGTGTAATTCTAACAAAGTAAGGTCAGAATTAAATGTAGTGTGAAGTTTTGAATCAGTTATTCCATATGACAATACCGGTAAGAACACACACGAGTGTCATGTGTTCTTAAGTTCATCATAACTTGTTTAGCACTTTTATGACCTTGCGCTTATCCTTTTTAACAATATTTTAAAAGAGAAACTCCAACTCTCTATTAAGGCGGCACCACGTTGAAAATTGTTTAGGTGAAGTTCTTCAAATACCTTTGTTACTTTTAGAGATACTTGTGTTTTAGCACTGAACTTCATTAAGAGCTTAAAACTCATCCCTCATTTCAGTAAAAATCAGCATTATTTTAATTAGGATATGATTATTGAGGATTTTAATAATGCTGCAACTATTCACATATTGAATGACTTGTTGTTACCCTTTCAACTCGTAAATTACCTTTTGAACAATGACAGGTAGGGTTGCTATCATTGGTGAACATTTTTAGTTAAGGAGTTTTAACATCATCCTACTCGAAATAGATGCTTCTAAACCTCTATTTAGAGGTTTAGTCAAAGGATCCGTCAAATTCTCAATTGACCTTACATAATTTAGGGAAATTATTTCATCCTTGATTAATTTCCTTATACAATCATGTCTAAGATTCATGTGTCTAGACTTTCCGTTGCATACTTCATTAAATGTTTTTGCTAATGTGGCTCGACTATCACACATGATAGATATTGAAGAAATATTCTTCGATCCCAAAGGTATCTCGTAGAAGAGATCTTTTAGCCACTCGGCCTCTTTCCCGGTTTTCGATAGAGCTACGAATTTCGATTCCACGGTCGAGTGTGTTATGCATGTTTGTTTATTTGATTTCTAAGAAACATCACCTCCTCCAAGACTGACCACCCAACCCGAAGTGGATTTACTCTCACCAGCGCTAGATATCCAATTAACGTCGATAAATTCTTCCAATACTGTCGAGAATTTAGTATATTGCATGCCCAGGTTTTTGGTTTTCTTTAAGTATTCAAAAACTCTTCCAATGTCATTCCAATGATTATTGCTCGGATTGCTTGTAAACCTGCTAAGTTTACTTATGACATAGACTATGTTCGGTCTTGTGCATTGAACTGCATATATGAGACTTCCTATAGCACTAGTATATTCCAATTGAGCAATCGTCCTTCCATCATTCTTTACAAGTTTTGAACTTGGGTCAATCGGGGTACTATATTCATTTATATCGAAGTGTTTGAACTTGTTTATCACGTTCTCAATATAATGTGATTGACTTAGGTGATAACCATCACTAGTCTTTGTGACTTTGATACCTAAAATGGTATCCACTTGACCAAAATTCTTCATTTTGATTGTAGAAGATAGAAAC